ACAGCACAGCCAAAGCTAGGAGCCTGCTTCTCTCTCTCTCAATTGACAAATACATTGTTTTCCAAAAATATTATGAGAAACATGTTTTATGATCCCATACTGCTTGCCCTGTTTTGCATGAGCAACCACTGCTTTCCTTGCCTTTGCTTCATAAAATTAGAGGGAACAGCTAAGGAAGAAGAGAAGCCCAGTGGTCTTCTAGCAGAGCTGATGAAATGGCCCTGTTTCTCATATTTCCCAATGTTGCTGCAGAGGCTTCTTAATTTTCCAGCACTGCTAGCACACCTTGTATTCAGTCAGAATGTGATCTGCTGACCTTAGCTATGACTTGTCAGCAACTCCACAGGCACTCAGGCTGAGGTTTTATGCATTTTAATTTATACTCTGGCTTTCTGAATGTTCACACAGGGTAGTGTAATGATAGATAAAATTTCATCAATAATTAAAATGACACTGCTGACAGTAGTTGTTAGATGCAGGAATGGCAGTAACAGATTGTGATGTGTTACACTCCCCAAGTGTGGTTCGTGCAGCTGACCAAATTGGCCATATCTGAAAGCCTGAGGGCCAAATTTGAATCCCAATCCCCAGTAGGACTGTTAATTGTTACTTAAAGAAAAAACAAACAGGAAGATATTGGATGGGCAGTTTCTGTTTGGTGGGGGGCATTTGGGGATGGGGTTCCCAAGAAAACCACAGCTCTGAATGCTAAAATATGTCTTTTTCTATTCTATTCTTTTCTTGTTCCTCTTCTTCTTCTTTTGGCTAAATAATGTTTTTGTGTGTTTGTTTTTGTTTTGTTTTACTTTGCAGCTGCAAACATGCACCAGATCATGGTCTGGGGCTGTGGTCCACAGCAGTTTATCTACCCTTACCTACACAGAGTTCTCACCCCTTGCAGATTGTCTAAGCCAATCATGCAAAGTCTAGAAAAATATTTGGCCTGGGGGTTAAATTCAACATGTCAATTGCCAGCAGGAGCACCAGCCAAAGAAAGAGCCACATACATTTCCATTCTGCAGCGATTTAGACTGTTTTGATGTTCCACTCTACAGCACTCTTTCTGTCTGCATGTCAATCAATGATTCTGCAGATCACAAATCTGGATATAAATTGGGATGGGGGAACCTTTGGCCATCTGAACCTCTTGGACTACAACCCCCGTAATTTGTTATCATTGATCTTGTTGGGTGGAGCTGATGGGAATGGTAAGTCATAACACCTGGAGTGCCATAAGTTTCCTGTCTTGCTCTAAACACAATGTTCACATCCTGTAAGTCCTTGTTGAACTGCTATCCTGACCAGAATGAGCTATATCTAGTCTTTATCTATGAACTAAAACACTCATTTTACACTGCAAAACTAACCTGTGTTTTACTATCTTGTTTAACTATGTTGTTATTTTATCCTAGATTCATTTTAACTGTGGCCTAATTTTTTTCATGTGGCTTTGCTGTAAAAGTAGTTCTGAACATTTCTCAGAGAAGCTAATGGACTTATGCATAAATAAATACACCTTAAAAGTTCTGTTTGTGTGAGTCGTGAGCCAATCCGCAGAGAACTGGAAACACATTCCGATCAAACCCTGGGCTATTCTTTGGGAGTAAGATTGCAGAAAGAGGAAAATCAAGTTTCCCACTAAGCTACAGAAGGTAAACATATACAGTATTCTCAGTTTCAAAATCATCCTTGGAGAGCAGGGAGAAGCAACCAGTGGGGAAAATGTAACACTGTCACCAAAATGATAGCAACAAGACAAGGTCATTAATTACTGATGTAGGAGAGTATAGCAATAGATACAGTGGTGCCTCGCAAGACAAATGGGTTTGGCAATGGGGGGTGGGGGTTGATGACTTGCAAGACAAATGTTCCTATAGCCGTGCTTCGCATGGAGAATGTTTTCTGTTTTTTGTTCCTGCCTCATGTTTGCTGATTTTTAAATGTTTTTCTATGATGTTTAAAAAGTTAAAGTTTTTTGACTGATTTTTTAAAAATAATCTGCACAATATGTATGGTTTAAAGAACACTTAATAAACACTTTATAAACCAAATTTGACTTTGTTCTGACTTTTTTTGACCATAGGAACGCATTAATTAGATTTCAATGCATTCCTATGGGACAACGTGTTTCGCAAGACAAATTTTTCGCAAGACATTAACCGTGGAACGAATTAAATTCGTCTTGCGAGGCACCACTGTATAGTGCAACATAGCAAATCAGCATTCCATAAGACAACTTAAAAATGGGTATGCCAAACAAGGTGCTATATTTAATATGCCAGCAAGTTTGGAAAACTCAACAGTGGTCAGAAGACTGGAAAAGATCAGTCTACATCCCAATACCAAAGAAGGGCAGTGCCAAAGAATGCTCCAACTACCGTACAATTGCACTCATTTCACACGCTAGCAAGGTTATGCTCAAAATCCTACAAGGTAGGCTTTAGCAGTATGTGGACCGAGAACTCCCAGAAGTACAAGCTGGATTCCGAAGGGGCAGAAGAACTAGAGACCAAATTGCTAACATGTGCTGGATTATGGAGAAAGCCAGAGAGTTCCAGAAAAAATCTACTTCTGCTTCATTGACTTTGACTGTGTGGACCACAGCAAACTATGGCAAGTCCTTAAGAAATGGGAGTGCCTGACCACCTTATCTATCTCCTGAGAAACCTATACATGGGACAGGACGCAACAGTTAGAACTGGTCATGGAACAACTGATTGGTTCAAAATTGGGAAAGGAGTAC